CAATGGGTTATTTATCATATTATGGTGGCCCTTTTAAGCTTCCTTCTGTGGCCACATTTTGGTAAGGTTGCAACAAGGGGATTATAGTGATTTGCAATTCTTGCTTTGTAACGCGCAACGATCACCTTGAGTTCCTGCTGTACGGTGTTCACTTTTAGTACGTCATGCAGCTCTGAGTTTTTATGACATGAACCAAGGGGCATTCGAAATGTTCTTAAGTATACGATTTTGCACCCTTTGAATAATGTTTAAATTTGAAGCACTTGCGGTACCCCAAACTTGTATACCATATGTCCATATTGGTTTGAGAACATTATTGTAGAGTAGGAGCTTATTGTCCAGACTCAGAACAGACCGTCTTCCTAGGAGCCACTGGAGGTTTCGGTACTGTATATTAAGTTGATCTGTTTTCGCTAGAATGTGTGCTCTCCATGTGAGTTTTTTGTCCAGTCTAATACCTAAAATTTTTTTTTTTAACCATTTGTCCACTTCATTTAATCCACTCTGGAGCATTGCAGTAGCAGTCTTTGGGTCCTTGTGACTGACCAACACAGCCGTGTCATCCGCATATGTTGCAGTTGTTAAATTAGTGCTTACAGGGAAATCTGCGGTGTATAAAGTATATAATACTGGTCCCAGGACCGAGCCTTGCGGAACACCTGCTAGGATGTCGTGGAATGAGGAAGTACTGTCATCTTCTCTAACTTGAAATATTCTATCGGAAAGATATGACTTTAAGATTTCATAAAAAGTATGTGGTAAGAACTGTTTTATTTTGCATAGTAGGCCCCTGTGCCAAACCCTATCGAATGCCTGCTGTATATCTAGAAATGCGCATGAGCAGTATTCTTTATCTTCTAGTGACTTTCTTATTATGTTGCACACTCTATGCACTTGTTCGATGGTTCCAAGTTCTTGTCTGAAGCCGAACTGATGGTCTGGTATTACATGTTTTTCGTGTAGTATGGGCATCAATCTCCGGAGAAGTAGTTTTTCAAAAACTTTTGAAAGTACCGTTAGCAAACTAATCGGCCTGTAGGAAGAAACATCATTTTCAGGTTTACCTTCTTTGTGAATCAAAAATTGAAGGAATAATGAAAAAAAAAAAATTGTAGTTTTAAAATTATTTTATGTTACATAAAAAGTTCCCTATTTAATAAGGTAAATAAATAAATTGTAGAGCACTAATTTTTGGAGTTTAATTCAATATTGTAATTTTTTCAAGGTGGTCTCAAACTTTTGTCCGGCTGTGTATATATATCTCACAACTTTACAGTTTTCAATATGTCATTGGATAAATGTAAAGTAATTCGTTGTAAAATTTTCTTTATTTTATTTACAAGAGCACATCATATGTGTTGTTACATTGTTCATCTCTTGCTGTTCGCGCCACCATATTTCGCTGTTGAAGGAGTTCTCGTCATCGTAGCCATATCATCGAAAGTACTACAAAAATATATTTTTTCATATTACGTTGTTATAAATAAAGTATTATTTGGAACAAATGTATTAAGTGATGTAAAATATATTCAATAACTGTTGGTTTGTTTAGCGCAATCTGTTGATCGTTATAGACTGACCAGTTATTGTTAATGTTGTGTTGTTGTTGCACTTCTTGTCGGAGGATCCTCTTGGAGGAGGAGGGAAGACAATAAAATAACTGAGCTACTTGAATAATGTATTTATTTATAAAAAAAAATGAAAAAAAACTTTCATAAAACATTTTTATAAAAAAAATCTTAGTTTCATCATCACGTTGTTTTTATCCATTGTAAATAAAAAATTATTGAACAAAAATAAATATTCGTCGATAAAAAAAAAGCACCTTTCAATTCCTTTTGTAAGTTTTTTCAGTCTTCTTTGCAAAGATTTTGTTGTCAACTCAATACTCAATATAATTCTCGAAGGCTTTCCCCTGTCTCCCTGTCTCCCCTGTCTCCCCTGTCTCCCTGTCTCCCCTGTCTCCCCTGTCTGTCTGTCTGTGTGTCTGTCTGCCCGAACATTAACCAGCATTGCGATTGAGATTCATCTTTTTTTTTGTTGGTGATTTTTTTATACATTTGAAACGAGCATGGTCCCGCGTTAGGCGACCGGGGGCGCCGTCTGCCGCTCGCAGGGCGCGGCGGG